GAACAATAATCCATGGTGTGGGATGTCCGTTAATTCTGCTTCTTTACTCTTGCCTCCTATTTCAAGTCCTTTGCGGTGGAGATCAGAGATCATGAGGGAAGAAGAAATCCATCAAATCCTTCTCAGGAGGTGCTTTTCAGGAGGATCCCTAAGGAAAATCCAAGTCAGGATATCTCAGGAGGTAATCCAAGGTCTTCCTGTTACCCAGAGACATTCCAGCTGTCTCATCTTCTTTATGTCTTCTATCATATAGAACAGTGGTTCTCAACCTTTTTAATGCTGCGACCCCCAACCGGTCGTAAGTCGAGGACTACTCAACTAGTCGTAAGTCGAGGACTACTCAACTGGTGCAGCACCATTTGCAGAATGGGACTTTTGGCGGGCTCAGCAGGGCAGAGACAGCCTGGACAATTCCTATTGGCTTTTGAAAGCCAATAGAATTAGACTCTATTCAAGAAAGTCTATTCTATTGGCTTTCAAAAGCCAGTAGAATAAAAGGGAGTAGCACAGCTAAGGAAAAGGGGGGAAAAAATGGCAGACTGCGTTGTTTGGCGACCCCCGTGAAATGGTCGTTCGACCCCAAATGGGGTCCCGACCCACAGGTTGAGAACCACTGATATATAAGATCTCATCCTATTCCTTTAGTTACGTATTTTAAAATTCTGTATCCCTTACAGGGAAGAGTCAAATGAAGTTGTCTGCTTTTTATGATGGAGATGAAACAGTGGTTGAACCTCCAAATCAAGTAAGAGGGGAAAATTATTTTTTTAGATTTATATTTTCCCTTTTCTTCAGGAAGTGAAACTGATGTACAAAGCATTTTCTCCTTACAGTTGTTCCTCTTGTTTGGGCTGGATTATTTTTGTTTTCCTGATCAAGTGGAAAGGGGAATAGAAGATTCAAGTTGCTATCAGTCAGCTTAGTTTTCTTTGAAGTTGTTTGTTTGGATCTGGTGGTTTGTAATTTCTATTCTTAGATTATTACTAGGAAATATTTTTCAAGGCTAGCTGTTAAATATCGTTTTTCTAATTACTCTTTCTATTATTAAAATTTATAATAATTTAATATATAACTTTATTATAGCCGTACACTTATTGAATAGATTCCTTCTTTTTGTACTTTAGTTTGATTGCCGAAAAATAAGTACTTTAAAATTTTTAAAAGCCTTTTTTATCACAAGTGAAAACAAAAATAAGTGCATCAAACTGAAAAATAAAGCAGACTATTAAAATCTATAAAGGTGGCCAGGTGGAATAGTCTTTTAAATAAATATTGTCCTACAAGAGCACATTATCAAAACACCTTTGGCTTGCAGAGTAATTTCTAATCCTCCGATTTGTGCCTGGATTTGAAGGCCAAACAATCCAGCTTTGCACAGCCTGAAAATTATCCTTCCCGCAAAATTTTCCCCACTATCTTATCTCCCATTCAGCCGTGATGGCTTAGACTAGTAGTAATGGTTTCCTTATAATAAATGAGGAGAAGAATATAGAATTGTGTGGCTCTAAATATTGAAGAAACCCTACTTAAAAGCCTGGCTGATTTTTCCCAGCACTTTCATGAAGGTGTTGAGCATGGACAGGATTGTTCTTTCTGAAGACACCATAAGCCTTTTTCTGAAATGCAAGAAAGTATCTTGCTAAAATAGCAGTTTGAAAGCACGCAAATGCAAGAAGATAAATAGGTACCACTTTAGTGGGAAGGTTGCAGTGTTCTATGTGCTTTGGCATATAGTCACACTGGCCACATGACTATCTCTTTATGAATTTGCTGGTCTCCAGTGTTGCGGTATGTGTTAACAAAATGCCAAAGAATAAAGACATCAGCAGTTATCTTAGAAGAGAATTTGTTGCTGCCCATCAATCTGGGAAGGGTTTAAGGCTATTTCCAAACAATTTAAAATCTACAGTGAGGGAGGTTATTCACCAATAGAAAACTTTCAAGACATTTGCGAATTTTCCCAGTGGACATCCCAGCAAATTCACCCCAAGGTCAGATCGTGCAGTGCTCAGAGAAATTTGGGCTTGTTTCGTAGCCTCACAGTCAATGAATTGCCTATGAACTCCTCTGTATACCAAAGTATTCTAGAGTCAAATGGGAGGCCATCTGTTTGACAGCTAAAGCTTGGTTGACATTGGGTCATGCAACAGGACAACGATCCCAAGTCCACCAGCAAATCTACAACAGAGTGGCTGAAAAAGAATCAAGGTGTTGTAATGGCCCAGTTAAAGTCCAGACTTCAACCCAATTGCAATGCTGTGGCAGAACCTCAAAAGAGCTGTGCAGAAACAGATGCCCATAAACCTCAATGAACTGTTAACAATGTGGTAAAGAAGAGTGGGCCGAAATTCCTCCACCGTGGAGTGAGAGACTGATAAAGTCATACAGAAAATGATTACCTCCAGTTATTGCTGCTAAAGATGGTTCTACATGCTATTGAATCATAGAGTGTGCTTTTTCCCCCCACACGTGGCTTCTCCATTTTGGCTTTCCTTTTGTAAAATAAATGATGGCATGGTGTAATATGCCATGTGATATTCATCTGAGATTGTATTTAACTACTTTTAAGAACTGCTTAGGACCAGATGATTTTTATTATGTCCTGATAGGTAAAAGCACAGAACAAAAAGAGAGTGTATTTTCTTTTTCACATTAAAATGATAGATAGATAGATAGATAGATAGATAGATAGATAGATAGATAGATAGACAGACAGACAGACAGACAGACATAGATAGATAGATAGATAGATAGATAGATAGATAGATAGATAGATAGATAGATAGATAGATAGAGTGGGTAGGTAGGGAGAGAGAGAGAGAGAGAGAGAGAGAGAGAGATAAGGAAACTAGGCAATAGATTGGCATTAAAAATCCTGCAGAATCTATATTATGTTGATAAAATCTTTGTTACCTTTGCTTTAGGAGTTTCTACAAAATAGGGCAGGTCTTGTAAATCCTCCTGGGTCTTTTTTGTTCTTTTTGTCTTTGTTCAGGAGGGTCTGGTGTCCTATGAAGAGGTGGCTGTGTATTTCTCCGAGGAGGAGTGGTCTCAGCTGGACGCTCACCAAAAGGTTCTGCATTGGGAAGTCATGCTGGAAAATCAAAGGAATGTGGCCTCTCTGTGTATGGGTTTGCTATTCTCCTATCATAGAGTTTAAGAATACATTTTGTAGTCCCATCAATTATTTTTTATTAAAACTCTCCAACCGTATATTATCTCTTGTGAGGGAGAAGTAAGAAGATCTGGTCATTGGCTTCTTGTTTAGATGAATTCTGTATCATTTCTCATCTGGTGATTTATTTTCATTTCTATTTCAGCATGTCAGTAAGAAACTAACCCTTGGATTTAGGTGATGTTCCACTCCATCACTTGACAAATGGGCAGCAAATGAACCTATAAATAAAAATCACACCTATATTATGGAGGATTATCATTTCTTTAGGCTCTTGGTATCTAGAGAGATTCTCAGTCATCCCGGTCATGGTTGTCCCAAAGGTACTTTTTCAAGAGGCAACTGGACTTTCTTTGTTTTTCCTTGAAGATCTTTCACTTCTCATCCAAGAAGCTTCTTCAGTTCTGACTGAATGGTGGGGAATGAAAGGATTTATATTCCTTGCAGTCATCTGGTCGTTAGCACTCTGTCTGAGAGTTGTTGAGGCCCCTTGGAAGTTTATCTGGGCCCCCAGGGTCTCCTGAATGGTGCAAGTGGGTGTTCTTTTGGAACTGTCGAAAGGACTGTGTTGTAAATAGGAGATAGATGATGTTTAGGCTCTTGTGTTAATGACTTTTCTCCCTTTTCCAATCTACCCTGAGCCTTTGGATTAAGGGCAAAATGGGCCAGTTTTCTATTGCAAATATGTTTTTTAGGGTTAACTGAAGAACTGTTTTTTTCCTTGCAACCATATGATTTTGCTAAGAGAAAAATTAATAGTTTTTACAAGTCCCTGCTGAAATTGGCTCCCCTCAATAAATGTTAGGTTTTCTAATACTTGCTTGGATATTTCCCTTGAGTCTTGCTTCATTCAAAGGTACCGTATATTCCGGCGTATAAGGCGACTGGGCGTATAAGACGACCCCCAACTTTTGAGAAGATTTTCAGGGTTTAGAAAGTCGTCTTATATGCCAGAAAATACAGTACAATATTGAATTTCTGTTTATAGATGAGCACAATAGGAGCTCCATTCCTTTGCTGCTAGAAAGCTTTGTCCTGTTAGTGCTTATTTCTGTAAAAAAAAAAATAAGGCTGGCCACTAGGGGGCAAATTGGTTTTAAATTCAGAGAACAGCTACGCGTATATTCCAGCGTATAAGATGACTCCCGACTTTTGAGAAGATTTTCGGGGTTTAGAAAGTCGTCTTATACGCCGGAAAATACGGGGTAACTCACTTTGATAATTGCAGATAATTAGAAAATAAAATGAAAATAAAATAAGAGGTTGGGGGAGCTTTATCAGTAGAGGTTTAACAATAAAAGATTGGACACCCATTTATCTGGAATGGTTTAAGATTCCTGCCACAGGATCAGAAGATTTCCAAGGTCCCTTCTAACCCTATTCTATATTCTGTGTGACTTCCTATAATTTGATATTTTTCTCTACTTTCATGGCCATTTCTCTTTTCCTTTGAAGGTAATAATGGGGAGGAGAATAACGATTCTGGGGAACCATTCCCAATGGTGAGCTCTGGAGACGGCACACAGAAGCCTGCAGTGCAAGTGCAACTAGAAAGCCATGAGAAAAAACAACTAAAAAATTGGAATCAGGAAAGCTTATCTTCGATTGAAGCTCTGATGAAAGACTTTCTTGCCCAACAAAGGAAAATGAAGAAAAAATATTTTGAGAAACATATACGACAATTCAAAAATGAATTAGATGTAAATGAACACTGTCCAATCCAAACCAAAGGAGAAGATCAGGTGTATAGGGACAATGGAAAAAAATTCAATTGGACTTGGAGTTTTTGTCATAAAAATAGACCAGGTACATCTCAAAAAAATATTCATACAGGAGAGAAGCCATATAAATGCATGGACTGTGGGAAAAGCTTCTGTGAAAATGGGTCTCTTACTATCCATAAAAGGATCCACACAGGAGAGAAGCCATATAAATGTTTGGAGTGTGGGAAGAGTTTCAGAAGAAGCAGCCAATTTACTTCCCATAAGTGGATCCATACAGGGGAAAAGCCATATAAATGCAGTGTGTGTGGAAAGGGCTTCTGTGAAAATGCATCCCTTCTGAAACATGAAAGGATCCACACAGGGGAAAAGCCATATAAATGCAGAGAGTGTGGAAAGACCTTCATTCAGAGCAGTCATCTTACTTCCCATAAAAGGATCCACACAGGGGAGAAGCCATATAAATGTAGAGAGTGTGGAATGAGTTTCAGTAGGTGTGGTTCCCTTACTTTCCATAAAAGGATCCACACAGGGGAGAAACCATATAAATGCATGGAGTGTGGAAAGAACTTTACTAAAAAGAGTGTACTTATTTCCCATAAAAGGATTCATACAGGAGAGAAGCCATATAAATGTGTGGAGTGTGGAAAGGCCTTCAGTCAACAGGGTAATCTAACTTCTCATGAAAGGATGCACAGTGGAGAGAGGCCTTACAAATGTCGAGAGTGTGGAAAGAGCTTCTCTGAAAATGCATCGCTTACGAAGCACAAAAGGACCCACACGGGGGAAAAACCATATAATTGTTTTGAGTGTGGAAAAGGCTTTGGTACTAGTAGTAATCTTAATTCCCATAAAAGAATCCATGCAGGGGAGAAGCCATATAAATGCATGGAGTGTGGAAAGAGCTTCACTAATAGCAGCCAACTTACTTCCCATAATTGGATCCACACAGGAGAGAAACCATATAAATGTGTGAAGTGTGGAAAGGCCTTCAGTCAACAGGGTAATCTTACCTCCCATGAAAGGATGCATAGTGGGGAGAGACCTTATAAATGCCCAGAGTGTGGAAAGAGCTTTTCTGAAAATGCATCCCTTACAAAACATATAAGGATCCACACTGGGGAAAAACCATATAACTGCTTGGAGTGCGGAAAGGGTTTTAGTACTAGTAGTAATCTTAATTCCCATAAAAGAATCCATGCAGGGGAGAAGCCATATAAATGCATGGAATGTGGAAAGACTTTTACTCAAAGCAGTAATCTTACTTCCCATAAAAGAATCCACACAGGTGATAAACCATATAAATGCATGGAGTGTGGAAAGGGCTTCTGTGAAAATGCACCTCTTATGAAACATAAAAGGATCCATACAGAAGGGAAGCCATATAAATGCATGGAGTGTGAAAAGGGTTTCTGTCAAAAGTCATCTCTTATGAGACATAAAAGGATCCACACGGAGGACAAGCAATATAAATGTGAAGAGTGTGGAAAGAGTTTCAAGACAACAAATGACCTAATTTCCCATACACAGGTCCATTTGGGTGAGAATCTATGTAAATTTTTGATTTGATTAAATCTGCATTTCCAATTTGTGTATGCTGAACTAATGAAGCTACGGTTTTAAGTCTGACCCTCACAGCTGATGGTACCAGGGAGATGAATTAACCAATGGGAAAAAAAGCATGGGTATGTCTGTTTTAATTATGTTAACTTTTAAATAATTATGCTTAATTGAGTGTACCCAACCCTCTTTATGCTCGTCTTTGATTGTAGGAAAGAGTTGAGTTTATAATTATGAACAGTGGATTTTTTAAAGTACTGCCATTTGAAAGTGGCTGTTGCTATTGCACATCAATAAAATATTTTTTTAAAGTTTACATTTATCCTAGTTTCCAGTTGATTATAGTTCTTGATAGGTTTATAATAGGTGCTGCTTCCTCAGGCAGCAGAAGGAACTGCATTTCTTTGATACATCTCTTCAAGACAAAGCTCGATTAGTCTTTCTTCCACTACAGCAGATACGCAGGTAAAAATTCAACTGATCCACAGACACTTCCCATGGTTTAAACTTTCCTTCTTTTTCATAATTTTACAATTCTTTCCTTTTTTGTTTTTCTTTTACTCCCAAGTTAGGGGTACTCAAGAGGATGAGAATGAAAACAACTCCAGTGTGCTGACATTACAAGTGATCAAGCAAGAAGGGAGATCTTTGGAAATCTGTGGGGACCAAAATAAAACAGTATGAAATTAGTAAAAATTACTTCAGAAAAATGACTTCAATCCTTCCTGACGAAAGAATAATGGATGGAAACTGATCAACAAAAGATTCAACCTAGAAATAAGAATTTTTCTGACAGAACAGTCAACCAATGGAACAGATTGCCTATAGAACTTGTGGGAGCTTCATCCCTGGAAGCTTCCAAGAAGAAACTGGACTGCCATCTGTCAGAAATGGTGTAGGGTCTCTTGCTTGGGTGGAGGGTTGGATAGATCAGCGGACTCCAACCTTTTGGGCACCAGGGACGGGTTCCATGGAGAGAGATTTTTCCGCCAACCGGAGAGGGCATGGTTTCGTGTGCTGCCTGCATCCCGTGGATGGGGCTTCGCTTGTTTGCATGGCCCAGTTGCTGGCATGCTGCGGACTGGTGCCGGTCCACGCACCAGGGGTTGGGGACTTCTGGATAGATGACCTACAGAATCCCAACTGTTATTCTATTCTAAAATACAATAAACTGGTCCAACTTGCTTCTACTGTGAAGAACAGAGACCTGAGTCAGCCACTATGAATGCAGAAGCAAGGAACTTTTTTTGGTCAAAGGACTCTCATAATGTTAGACAATAATCAAATAGAAGTCAATGTAGTATGTGAAAAGAGTTTCAGGAAGAAAATTCCTCTTAAAAAAGGAGCCAGAATGATAAGCCCCTGAAATAGATGTGCAAAAGACTTTCTCAAGCATTGGTGTTCTTCCTTTCTATGGTGTGACAAAGGCTAATAAAAAGTCTACATTTGATGCTGTGGGTAAACAAGTGTTATCTTTCCCTTGGTTATCTTAAAAATTGACACAATATGTTTGAAAGTTTTGATTGGGAGGCATATTTTAGACTTTCAGAGGCTCCTGCTGGGTTGAAAAATGTTTATTCAAATATTGCTCATTAATGGTTCCAGATCAATACGAAGAACAAAGGAATAAAGATAATAAATAAATTAACTACATAAAAAATTAACTCCATTCTTTCAAAACTGCTTTTTAAACACTTCCCCTCCATTTAATTTTTCACTCATTGTCGTTGATCTCCCTCCCCACAGACATTGTGAGCTCCAAATGCAAATAAATCTTTTCAAACTAGTGGTATCTTCAAGTCTTGTGCCTGAAATCAAAGTTCTTTTGCTTTTTTATTTTTTTCTGTTTACTCATGATCTAAATATTTTCCCCTTGCCTTAAATTCTCTTATGCTTCCTTGTCACATTTCCTGAGGTCAATTCCCTACTCAACCCATGAATAAAACATTTCTTTTTTTCCCCTCAGTATTTGAGCTTTATATTCCCTTTCAATTTTTTCCTTCCTTCATTTTGTGATTCCACTTTTTCTGCAGTCACAGATGAGACGCCGTTTCCCCCCCCCCCCTCTTCATTTGTCCTCCAAGGAGCTTTGTCTGAGGTAAAATTTCTGCAACATCCACTACTTCGACCTTTTTCTCTATTTTGGAACTGGTTTTCTTTTTTTTTTTTCAGGATTAATTTCTTGGTCACAACCTGCCACTCGGTCTTTCCAATTATTCTTAGGTCCCCAGAACCAAGAATTCGAGAAAGGCAACTGTATATATTGAAATATAGAAATAAAAATCATTAGAAATCTCCATTTTCCTGGTAGTGGCTTCCCTGCCTCTGTCCCATCTTCCGCCACTTCAGGCCAGAGTTTGCAACAACCTGTAAGGCACAAATTGTGTTTCCAGCGAGGCTTCTGGTCCTTGTTTTCTGACTGCCTGGCCATTTCTGACAGGATTTAGCCTCTTTTGAGGCTTCCTCCAATCTCTGCGGAGCCTTCAGGGTGGCTGTGCTTGAGGGAAGCAAGTTCAAATCCTCCAGAGAAATTTTTCTCCATTTCCACAGATGGTTCCTGGACAGGAAGGAAAAGAAGATGGAGAAACGACCGTCTCTGGAGACGTCGAAGCCTTTATGGGGCAGGGAAACAATGAGAGAGGCCTTTCCTCCGACTCCTATACGCATCATCCCTGTCCTCCCCTTTCCCCTCAGATACGCTCCTCTTTCCTGCCCTTGCCGGGAATGCTGGCACTTTGCACAGAATCCATTAGAGGGCGCTCTCAGCTGCAGGAGGGAACTGAGCATGCGCCGGCTTGTTCCGCGGGCGCAAGGCACGTGTTGCCCGACGATCTTGCCAAAAGAGGTTGGGGGCGCATCTTGCCCTTCTTCCCCCGTTGTGGCGGGGCGGGGCTTTTGCGGGAGGCGCAGAGGCTGCCGGGAAGCCTTGCGTGGACGCGGATGGCGACGAGACTCCCGAGTTCCGTAAGTGGCGGCGTGCAAAGAGATGCCGCGCTGGAGGCGAGCGTGGAGACGGGCCAAGTCTTCCCCCGGGGTGGGAGTCCGGGTCCCATATTCCCCTGCCGCCCTTTTCCATGCAGGGGCCAGGCAAGGGGGCGGGGTGCGCCCGAAGGGAGGGGCCGTTTCCCCCATTTCCTGGGGGAGCCTCTGCGTGCTGGGGGGGGGAGTCTGGCCAGAAGTCCTCCTGCCGGCTCTGGGTACAAGTCCGGGGCCACGTATGCGAGGACCGGGATGGGGTGCTGCTTCCCAAACTTTCCCCCCCGACCGCAAAGGGGCTCTGCCGGCAGACAGGAGGGAAACGTTGCAGGGACTGAGGTGTAAATGGGACTGATTCGCAACATTCGCACCCTGTGCCCGATTAGGCCAGTGTTTCTCAAACTTGGCTATTTTCAAGTCTGGGAGTTGAAGTCCAAACCTCTTTATTTGTCTATGTTTGAAAAAGAGTGGATTAAACTAAGATGTGGGGAACTTGTTTATAGGAGTTGCATGAATCAGAAGGTCATGTTAGGGTCAGGGTAGGCAACCTCGGCTCTTTTATGACTCATGGACTTCAACTCCCAGAATTCCTGAGTCAGCTGACTCAGGAATTCTGGGAGTTGAAGTCCATGAGTCATAAAAGAGCTGAGGTTGCCTACCCCTGGGTTAGACGATCATTAGGTTGTGAAAGTTGGACCATAAGAAAGGCTGAACGCCAAAGAATGGAGGCCTTTGAACTCTGGTGCTGGAGAAGACTCCTGCGAGTCCCTTGGACTGCAAGGCGTTCAAACCGGTCAGTCCTAGAAAAGATCAACCCCGACTGCTCTTTAGAAGGCCAGATCCTGAAGTTGAAAATCAAGTACTTTGGCCACCTAATGAAAGGGAAGGAGTCACTGAAGAAGAGCCTAATGCTGGGAAAGATTGAGGGCAATAGAAGAAGGGGAGGACAGAGAATGAGGTGGCTGGATGGAGTCCCTGAAGCGGGAGGCGTGAGCTTCAATGGACTCCAGAAGATGGTAGAGGACAGGAAGGCCTGGAGGAACGTTGTCCATGGGGTCACAATGGGTTCGACACGACTTTGCAACTAACAACAACAAGGTTAATTCATTAGAGTGTTAGCCCTATATGATTGGATGGTGGCTTGAGTTCTTGATAGAAAGAAGTTCATTGAGTGTTCTCCTGAATATCCCCCAGATGCAGAGAAGTCAACCTACCTAATAAGATTCCCCACTTTCTTTCCTGACATTAGTGTTTTCATGAGATTTTCTTCTTGATATTTTTTTTTCCTTTCGGAATGGATTCTCAGTTAAATTAGTCACCCTGTTTTTCTGGATCTTTGTTTTTTTATTATTTTTGATATATAAGTTGCAAATCTTCGGTGTTTCCTTTGGAGACAAAGACAAAACTAGGGTCAGATCCTCCCCAGTTCAACCTGCCTTAGGAAAGTGAGTTAACCAGGACATCATCTTAAAGGGGCATTCTTTCAAGCCCTCTGTTTCATGTGATCTTTGCCCGTGTGTGTGGAGCTGTCTTTGTGTTATCCTGTTCCCAGAAAGCAAACCCTGAAAAACAGAAAACGAGCACCCTAAGCTAGGTTCATTTCCTTGGCATTTCATTTGATGGGAACTCAACCTTTAGGACAGTGGTTTTCAACCTTTTTAATGCCGCGACACCCAACCGGTCGTAAGTTGAGGACTACTCAACCGGTCGTAAGTCGGGGACTACTCAACTGGTGCAGCACCATTTGCAGAATGGGACTTTTGGCGGGCTCAGCAGGGCAGAGACAACCTGGACAATTCCTATTGGCTTTTGAAAGCCAATAGAATTAGACTCTATTCAAGAGAGTCTATTCTATTGGCTTTCAAAAGCCAATAGAATAAAAGGGAGTAGCACAGCTAAGGAAAAGGGGGGGAAAATGGCGGACTGCGTTGTTTGGTGACCCCCGTGAAATGGTCGTTCGACCCCAAATGGGGTCCCGACCCACAGGTTGAGAACCACTGCTTTAGGATATAATTAAAATGTTGTTCCTTCCCAGGATCATTTCACTCAGTATTATTTCATGTTGGGGTCTTCTTCCTTTTTGTCATTAAGACCTCTAACACAAAGTAAACTTTTCTTTCTTGGGATAAGCCATTTTTGGAGCTTCCTCCTTTTCTCTTCCCTATGGTTCCAGTTACTTACACAGTACAAATTTAAAGACAAGGGTGAGGAACATCCTTAATATTCTATGAACCTTTACTGTAGGGTAATGTAGATCTTAAATTTGAAAAAAGCTAGAATTTCCTTTGGGGGGGAAAACAAATAGAAAATTGTCAAAATTAAAACATTCGTTTTATATTCCAAGTTCTTGATGGAAGCTAGAACCATATTTTGCACCACACGTGATGGACAAATACAGAAACACCCAGTGGATCCATTGGTACGATGCCACTGCAATCCTTTACCAGCTCAGGAAAAGACTCCTTATCATGAGGATGAATGTTATTTAGTGATTAAGTCTAACACCTTTTCATTCTTTGAATTTATTTTATTTTCCATCTCAGATGCAGAAACTAGAGTCATCTCAGCAACCTTCCTAGCAACAAAAAGTTAACTCTTGGGTGAAGGGCCTGGATAGCCTTTGTGGTCAGTTCTGCAGCTACAGGAATATTCGTATGAATTGAAGGGTGTTTGGAGATTCACAAGATTCTTCCGACCTATCTGGAATTTCCTTCCAGGGCAGACAAAGGATGCAGAAACAACCATTAGCAAGTGAGGGTGTTGTGGAAAAAACCACGATGCTTACATCAGAAGACAAGACCACGAAGGGTTGGAGAAAACAGGCTTTATTTGTGCACAATGGTTCAGAGCATTCACATGACAAATTCTGAACCTTGAGCTATTCTCAGAGAGTAATTCTTATAGCATTAACCACCCACGCCTTAGCCTTAGGGTGGCTCTTATCTACCTTTGACACACTAAAACAGAGAAGTTTATATCTTGAAGCTACATAAGTAAAAGGAGAAGTTGACACAAACGGTTGTCTTACCACACCTTTCTGCACGGGTGCTATCTTACAACATCTGTGACTTTTAGTTGACACTGACACTTCTTGTAAAATGGTTTCTACATAGCATGAACACATCTCTATAATTATGACACACAGATTATATGATTTAGGTTACATTGCACAGCCAAACTTAATATTATCTATTAACTATTATCAGCAACAAGCATTTCTGTTAAGATATAGATATATTTTGATGAACTTTGCCTGCCCACCTCAAGGGAATTGGAAAAGGCCCTTCTGCTGTAGAGCCTGGCAGCTATTAGAAGATCTGGGGAAGAATTGGGCAGCAGATCCTGGAGGAGAAAACCATCACATTTTCAGAGGTTTAGCCCTGGAACCTCAGTAGCATCAAATACCAGGAGGCTGAGGTCCCCGAGGACTTTGCAGCCGACTCCACAACTTTTGTAATCAACGGTTGAGACCAGAAAAACACACCAAAGTGCAAATGCTGGCCCTGGTTGTTATGCAGCAGCTCCTGAGTCTTCTGCCCCCAGAAATAGAGAGCTGGGTTTGGGAGTATGGAGCAGAGACCAGCTCCCAAGCGTTGGCCCTGGCAGAAGGCTTCCTCCTGAGTCAGGCAGAGGAGCAGAAGGAGCAGGTTGAATTGCAGGTGAGGGATCTTCGTCGTGGGAGTCCAGAAGGGAATAAAGAACGTTTTTAAATTCTTCGCCCCTCCCTTTCTTTCTTACGTTCCGGACTCTCTGATGGACACTCAAGAAATTGAAGTTGTGTTTAGAGACTAAGAATCCATTTCTTGTTGTATAATGCCCATTAATTTGTTTTATTTTCTCCTGTCTCCTGTTTCAAGTCCTTCACTATGGATATCAGAGATAGTATGGAAAGGAGGAATCCATCCAATCCCCCGCGGGAGGTTTTTTTTCCAGGAGGATCTCTCAGGAAGATCCAAGTCAGAACACCTCAAATGGTAATCGTAGGTCCTCCCTTTCTCAACAGAGATTCCAGCTGTCTTACCTTCTCTATGTCTTCTCTTTGCTTCCTGCTATTTTATTAATTGTGCATGTTAAAATTCTGTTTCCCTCACAGGGAAGAATAGAACAAAGTTGACTTGTAGTTATGGTGGAGCTAAAGCAATGGTTGAACCTCCAACTCAAGTAAAAGAAGCATAAAAAAAATAAGATGATCACAGTATTTATTTATTTATTTATTTATTTATGAGACTTATATACCGCTTTAAGTGCAAGCACTCTCTAAGCCAGTGGTTCTCAACCTGTGGGTCGGGACTCCATTTGGGGTCGAACGACCATTTCACGGGGGTCGCCAAACAAGGCTGTCTGCCATTTTTCCCCCCTTTTCTTTGGCCACGCCCCTGGCACTCGGTGATGTATAAGTGGTTGGGGGTCACCACAACATGGGGAACTGTATTATGGGGTCATGGCATTAGAAAGGTTGAGAACCACTGCTCTAAGCGATGTACACCAGTAAGCAATGTATATATATATATATTTACATTGCCCCCAACAATCTGGGTCCTCATTTTACCTACCCCGGAAAGATGGAAGGCTGAGTCAACCTTGAGCCGGTGAGATTTGAACCGCTGACCTGCTGAACACAGTCAGCTAATGTGGCCTGCAGTACTGCACTTTAACTGTTGCGCCACCTCGGCTCATATCTGCTAAATAGTCATCCTATTATGTCAACACTGCTAACATCTGATGTTTTTGCTTTGACGAGTTAGATGATGCTGGGGGGGGAGGAGGATTGTGCATGAGAGTTAACTTTAGATAGACATAACAATACTGGACTTAGTGTATGAGCCCAGGTTAATGAAATAAGAGATGATAAGAACTGGGCTGGAGAAATGGAGGGAGAGTCTGCATTTCAAACTAATTGGAGAATGTGATTTATGATTGTTAATTGGAGGAGGGAAGTGTGCTTTGATACTATGGGCTCAGGGGAGGGGAATCCACCATGTTAGTGCTGATGCTATGCTTCTCAAATAAAGATTCTTTAAGGTGTACACCGCTTAGAGAGTGCTTGCACTTAAAGCGGTATATAAGTCTCATAAATAAATAAATAAATAAGGTGAACAATGCCTCGAAATTCTTTGAAGAGTTTCATCTATCGGAACCATGACAGTTATTAATTCTGTGACATGGAATTGTGCAAGGCTTCTCAGTAATAACTAAAATAATAAGATTGGCCTCTTACTGTTTTTAAGAGGTATTGTTTATAACCAGTGATAAGAGAAAAAAAAAACAATCACACCATGTTAACAGATAAAGCAGATTATTAAAAATCCAGAGAAGGTGGCCACCTCAAGGCCATTCTGGCCTGCAAACTAATCCTCCAATGTGTGCTTCGTTTGAGGAGCCAAACTATCCAGCTTTGGAAAGGGTGAGAAATGGTCTTCCAAGGCAGCATTCTCCTCTTCAGCCAATTGCTTAGATTACTAGTAATGGCTTCCTTGCAATCTGAGGAGACACAGAAACAGGGTTGTGTGGTTATTCATTGCAACCCATTTAATTCCTGGGCTGCCTCTCACAGCACTTTCATGGAAGTGTTGATCATGGATAGAATTGTTCATTCTGGGGACACTGCAAGCTTTTTACTTAAATGGTAAAAAGAATTCCCACCCACCCCCTCAGTTTATTTATTTATTTATTTATGAGACTTATATACCGCTTTAAGTGCAAGCACTCTCTAAGCAGTGTACACCAGTAAGCAATGTATATATATATTTACATTGCCCCAACAATCTGGGTCCTCATTTTACCTACCTCGGAAGGATGGAAGGCTGAGTCAACCTTGAGCCGGTGAGATTTGAACCGCTGACCTGCTGAACACAGTCAGCTAAAGTGGCCTGCAGTACTGCACTCTAACTGCTGTGCCACCTCGGCTCTTTTTCTTCTGCAAACACAATATGAATTGTTGTCAGTGATGGATGGGCTGGATGACTGGATGGATGGACAGAGAAAGAGAAGGGATTATTTTCATTGAATGACACTGAAGTATATATCTTTGCTTGGGATGATTTAAACTGTTGGACAAATCTTGTAAATTCTCCTGATTTCTTCTTATCTACTTTTTCTCATTCAGGAAGGTCTTGTGTCCTTCGAGGAGATGGCTGTGTATTCCTCCGAGGAGGAGGGGTCTTAGCTGGATGTTCACCAAAAAAGCACTGCATTGTGAAGTCATGCTGGAAAAATCATAGGAATGTGGACTGTCTGGGTAAGAATTTACTACTCCCCAGTCAGTGTATTTGGGAAGACGTTCTGTTATTAGATTTATTTATTTATTTATTTATTTATTTATTTATGAGACTTATATACCGCTTTAACTGCAAGCACTCTCTAAGCGGTGTACACCAGTAAGCAATGTATATATATATATTTACATTGCCCCCAACAATCTGGGTCCTCATTTTACCTACCCCGGGAGGATGGAAGGCTGAGTCAACCTTGAGCCGGTGAGATTTGAACCGCTGACCTGCTGAACACAGTCAGCTAAAGTGGCCTGCAGTACTGCACTCTAACTGCTGTGCCACCTTGGCTCCTCAGCTCTTTCTTTTTATTATTATAATTCTATTAAAGAAATTTTATCAGAACAAAACAATACAAATTTTGAAGAGGAAGTAAGGCAATAGGGTGATAAACGAACACAAAAAAAGTATAATATAATTAAACAAGGAAAGAAAATAAAGACAAAAATAATAAAAGGTTATAACTTATCCTCTCTAAGGTTACACAGTTGTTTTCTTCTTTACATAGTTAGTCTTTTTTAAAACACAAGTTTGATTACGAGTTCATTTTTTCTTTTTTTAGCAAAGTATGGTGAGTTGACTGTGCCAAGATGGCCATGGCGAGGTGGTTGCGGCAAGTTGGCTGTGTCTGGTTGTCCCATTTTGACGTGCGAGGTGGATGTTGCTGTTATAAGCAAGAGAGGAAGAGAAAAGTTTGCTTCTGATGGATATCTCTGTGTATTCGATAAGCTGAGTGAAGTTGATTCTTCCCGTTACATTTTGGCGCTGTGATCAGTATAGAAAATGCAAGGCTAGAATTCACACCAGAAACAGAGAAGTAATAAAGAGGATCAACAGTCATTCCCATTGGCCTTCAACAGTGAATGTGGAAGTGGCAGGATTTGTGACTAGGATGAAGCGTCGAGCTGAAGAGACAGTGAAAGGGATATCCCAAATTATTAATACCTGTCTGGCCAAGTGAGCCCAGCGGTCTATGCTGCAGTACCTAGAACTTCAGCATTGCAAAAAACTATCCAGCGGACATGAAAACAAATGCAGGCAGCACCTTTGGACACAGTGAGCTTGGATTACCTCGTATTACCCAGGGAATACAATATCTATTGACCAACTCCAGGCGTAGAAGAGCCATTCTTACTTGGCGATTTCGGAGAGGGATTGAGGAGGATCCTAATATTTGGCAGAAGTAGTTGCTTGTACATTCTGCAGTCATCTGACAACTGGATGGCACTTTTGCAATTGTTCCCAAGCTCTTTGCTCAGGTTTATGTGATCCTAGCAAAGAACTATGGAGGTGTGCATCCTGTGTTGTATGCACTTCTGCCAAACAAACTGCGCTACATATAAATTGCTGTTTGAATTTATGAAAATCCTGGTGGCTTATATCCAACCACAGACCATTCTCTGTTTGTTCCACCTCACCCAGAACGTGAGAAAGCATTTGGTAGCAATTGGAGCTGCTCATGAATTCAACACCAATGCAGAGTTTGCTGTGAAGGCAAAAATGGTTTCAGTGTTGGCATTTGTGCCTGTCCCGGTCTTGGAAGAATATGTTGTTGCTCTAGAAGAATATCTGCCAGGAGAGCTGCAACCTCTACTGAACTGGTTCGAGGACAGCTACATAGGTTATCCAGGCAGGAGAGGGCAAGGAAGACAAACACCGCTGTAGTCAATCGCAGCTACTTCTGGAGGGAACTGAAATCCCCCTTCCCTCTCCACAGGGGGGAAAGTACTTTAGCAGCTTGTGAAGGTACATAAAGCAATTAGGATTTAAGAGAGGTAGATCTCACCCAATCCTTTCCACGCTGCTTTGAAGTTGCCAGATGGTGAGTGTGACTTCGGCTGTCTGCAGCCTAGTGATGAGCCGTATTGGTCTTTCGTCCACCAGTTTGGTTTGGAAGGAGCGGGAGAGCTACCACTCTCCTGCAATCCAGCAAGAGCACCTCCTTGCTGGTCACCTCTACGGGGCGACTTTCGACCCTTTTCAGGGTTCCCCAGCGATGCAAAACTGGATGTTTGCGAGACCGCCTACTATCTCATAGTTCCCTTCATCTGGTTAGATCCCACAGGCTGGGCCTCCTTCAGGTCCCGTCGGCCAAGCAGTGCCATTTGGCGGGGCCGCGGGGGAGGGCTTTCTCTGTGATGGCGCCCACGTCTTGGAACCAGCTCCCCCAGGAGATTAGGACCACTCCCACCCTGTTGGTTTTCCGCAAGCTGCTTAAGACCTGGCTTTTCCGGCAGGCCTGGGGTTTATAAAATCTGAACCCTGGATGACTGTTATTGTATTGTCTGTTTTGTCATGTTACATGGTGTTTTTATTGTTAGCCGCTAGGAGTCCTGCGGGAGTGGGGCAGTTTATAAATTTTAAAAATAAAATAAATAAATAAATGTGCTATATCAGCACAAAGATACATTTGTTAGTTATTGAATTCTATGATCATGACAAAACACATCAAAACCGACTTCCGGTGGATTTGCATGGGCGATGGCGGCTACTTTGTAGCCATCCTCCTGGGTAAGTGTAATGAATCGCTATGAACAGCGGACATCAGCTGTTCAGCGGTTCAAAATCCCCCTCCCGGGCAAAGGGGGGGGGAAGAGGGTGGTCTGAATAGTGGTAGAGCCTCTTATGCACCCCCAATATTCTTTTTTTGGGGGGGTGAAAAGAGTGCTCCCACGGAGTTCAGACTGTCTCCGCTTCCCAGCTGCTTTTGTCCCTAGGGACAAAACAACCCGTTGCAATCACCTCCGCACTTAAAGGGAACTGGTGAGTTTTTTAGAAGCGGACAGAGTTGACTAGAGGATTAGCTTTTGCTTTCTTCGATTTTATATGGATTTTTAGTTTAAAGATTTATTTTTACGTTTATATTCCCTCTTCTTACTTTTTACTTTTTGCTGAAAGGGAAAGCAAAATGGCGATCGGCAGACTTTCCGGCGTTTTATTTTATTTTATTTTATTTTCCTTTTGGGCAGCTAGAATGGCGATCGGTAGGTTTTTGGGTGTTTTTCTTTCCCTTTCTCTTTTCTTTTCTTTTTAATGACTGGAATGGATGCTTTATTCTTCTTTCCTTTTTTTTTTCTTTGATGAAAGTGAAAATAAAATGGCGATCAGCTTTTTTGGATTTTAGAAGCATTATTATTTTTGCTTATTTTTAAAGGCAGGCTTTCTGGTGTTTAAAATGGAATGGATCTTTTTTTTTTTTTTTAACTCCCTTTGATTTTATTTGGATTTTTACCTTAAAGACTTATGGATTTTAGAAGCATTATTATTTTTGTTTATTTTTAAAGGCTTCCCTTTAGTTGAAAGGGAAAGTAAATGGTGATTGGCAAGCTTTTTGGTGTTTTCCTCTATGCTTTTATTATTATCTTTTCTTTCTTTTTCTTCCATCTTTTGTTTTTTTAACTCCTTTTTTTATTTTTTGGAGTTAATTTTTGTAATTTTTAAGAAGGAGTAAAGATTTTTTTTTTTTTTTAAGATGGCTCCAAAGCGTCCAGGGATCTCTACAGTTCCTAAAGTGGCTTCTTCTTCGGTGTTATCATCAGTGCAACAATCTAAATCTATAGCTTCACCATCTTCCTTGGGCCAGCCAATAATTGTGAAGGATTTGCAAGATATGATGGGAAATGCTATATCTCAAATTAAGATAGAAATGAAAGAGATTTTAGAGGAAAATAATAAGATTCTGAGGCAGGAGATAGTTCTGGCTCTAAAAGGAGTTGCCTCTGTTCTTGAAAAGCTGAACTCTCGGGTAGAAGAGATAGAAGAAAAAGTGGAATTGATGGAGGGAAAATTTGAAAGTATGGAAAAAGAAATGGAAAATGAGATTCTTATGCTTCAATATGGACAAATGGAATATGCCCTAAGAATTAGAGGCTTGGGAGAGTCCTTGCAAGGAGATCTGAGAGAGATGGTTGCAAAGGACTTTGCTGTGATTTTGAATAAAGAAAAAGAGGAAATACTTGGTGAAATTGAAAAATTATTTAGAGTCAATTCTGTGGTGGCACTGCAAAAGAATTTGCCAAGAGATGTGGTAATTTATTTTGGGAAAAGATCCCTGCGCAACGAAATTATACAAGCTTTTTATAAGAAGAGATCCCAAATTGCTTCACAAGATGTTATAATCTTAAAGGAGATCCCATCTAAAATTTTAAGAAGAAGAAAGGAGTTTGCCTTTTTAGCAGATGAACTTAAAAAGAGACGAATTTCGTTCAGATGGGATGTTCCGATTGGAATGGTGGTGAACTACTTGGGGATACGTTATAGACTTAATACTGTTTCTCAAGCAAAAGACTTTTATACTTCGATCCTGGGGGTATGTTCATCGCCATCTATTAAGTTTAAAAAGTTGGAAGAAAAGAAGGTAGAATTGCAGTTTGAAGAGCCTATAATTATGGAAATTGGGAAACCTCAGTTGGAGGGGTCTCAACAAGTTGAGATGGAGGACCAGAGGATAACCTGTGCAACACATAATAGTAAAGAAAAGGATCAATTGCAGTCTGAATTGCTCACACTTATGAAAATTGGGAAATTTCAGTTTGAGGGGCCTCAACAAACAGAGATGGAGGAGCAGAAGACAATCTGTGTAACATATAATTGTAATCAACAGAAGAAGGACAAGGAGCAACCCTTAACGGCAGAATTGCAGTGTGAAGAGCCTATATTAATTGAAAAGGGGAAATTTCAGTCTGAGGGGCCTCAGCAGAGGATAACTCGTGCAACATATAATTGTAAAGACCAACAGAATAAGGAGTTTAAGGAATCCTCATATGTATTGGCTTCGGAGTCGTTGGGAGATTCAGGAATTTTGGAGCAATCTTTAAAGGCAGATCTCAAAGCATTTCTTTCGAGCTTGATAAGGATAAGGACGGAGAATGAAAATTAGAGATTGATAAGGATCGAGAATGAAAATGGACAATTGAGACTGATAATAATAACATCAGTATAATTGAGACTGATAAGGACTGTGTTTCTTGTGGACGGAATTTGTTATTGGTGAAGATTTAAATGTTTAATGTGTTTATTGTGGATATGTGTATAAGGGAATTTTAATGTTTTAAGTTTTAAATTTGTGTTTTGGAGGGAGTTTATAAAGAATGATAATAATATCAGTAATTATTATTATTATTTATAAGATGGAATTTGATTAAATGCGTATAAGGGGATTCTAATGTTTTAAGTTTTAAGTAATGTTTAAATTTGTGTTTTGAAGGAAGTATAACTTGTTTATTCTAATGTTTTAAGTTTTAAGTAATGTTTAAATTTGTGTTTTGGAGGGAGTATAACTTGTTTAACTAAATGTATTCAGATTTGTTTATTCATATTAGATTTTATATTGTAGGTATAGATGTTCAAAGAAAGTAGTGTTTAAAATTGTGTTTTGGAAGGAATTTATATAGAATGATGGATAGTATAAGTATGATTAGAAGATGTTTAGAATATATTATAATGTGTTTAATGATTCCAATTATTATTTTTTTAGAGAAGATAATCTATCTAATTTAATTAGACTTGTTTAGGATTTATATGTGTTTTAAGTTTTTTTTTCTTTTTTCTTTTCTTTTTTTTTTTTTTTGAAATATTTAGGACAAGCCTGTAATCAACTCTGGGAGGTCTAGGGGAGGGTTAGGGAGGTTTGGGGAGCTGGGGGAGGGTATGGGAGGGGGGGTTTGGGGAGGGGATTTGTTTTGTAAAATTTAAAAAATTTTCAATAAAAAAAAAAAAAACACATCAAAACCAAGTGGTCCGTAGTGAATCCGGCTGAAAAAAATGGGTTTATCTGATGGTAGCGGGTGTATTTGCAACCACCCAAAAGGCACTCTTGTGTGCCTCAAGTGAGGGTATTTGGAACAAAGTGAGTTCCTACACTGATTTTAAGCATGTATTGAAGATTCGAATTACCAAGGGTATTCTAGATATGCAAAGTCCATAGGAACAGATTGCAGCTTATGCACCAGCAGCAGTATCTGATGTGCAGTTCCTCCAGCGTTTGGCTTGCGGAAATGAATTTGTACATAATTAAGTTTCTTCAGAAAAATATACAATTGTAATCAAGTTCTCTGTTTTTCCCATGGTATCAAAAATTGATGAATTTTGTGTTTTGGTGATGAATGTTTTATCTGAACACTGTTTATTTCAGTGCCGGTCAATAAATTTGCCTCCCATGGCCCATGATGATCAGCATGTAGTGTTACGTTAAATAAAATTTTGTACCATTACAAATTATTCCGTACAGTGAGCAATCTCAAATAACAGCATGTCAGATGCACAATACAAAACTCCAAAACATTTTTAAAAACACAACTGTGAGTTGATGACAACTAACTGAAAATGTGTACTACAAAATTTAGTTTTTGACAAAACCATTTCAAATAATAATAAAATTGGGAACGTGGTTAGAAAAATACAAGAGATAAAATAATGTTGACAAAACCATGGTCACCAATAATAAAAGTAACAGGATGAAACTATTAATACAAAGGTTAAAGAAATGGACTCTGATAAAAAATAAAAGGAACTAAGTGAATCAAGAAATACAAAAATTAAAATCTGTAGTACAAGAGTCACACTAAAATCAAAGAAATGATGGAATAGAATCAAAGAAAGGATGCTAAAAGAGGGGCAAATGTGAATGACAAAACAACGTCAGAGGAACTGGCAGATAACAATACATTTATGTGGCATTCAGTTATCCCATGTTGAATTCTTCCATGGCAAGATAATCCAAACCAAGTTGGTTGCAAGTTATTCCATTCCATTTGGTAGAAAGTCCATCAGAAGTTTCCAATCACTAATAAATATAGATATTATCCTTTCTTTAATCAAAGAAGTTGATTTACTTACCTGTGAGAATTCTGTCATCTTCACCAACCATTCCACCTTTCTAGTTATTGTAGAGCCCTTCCAACTTTGTGCATTTACTCTCCCTCTGGTTATCATAGGTTTTAGTAATTACACGTTCATCCTTTCTATACATGTAGGAGTCAAATTCTGTTTTATATTGTTGAATACCATACTTACCTTTATCTACCTTGGATTTTTCTGATGACAACATGAAAACTATGGATAAT